AGATGGTAGATAATGTTTTTAGTATCTTGTAATTCGATCAGAGTAAGACCTCGTCCTGTTGTTTTCTTCTCTGATTCAGCTGACGCGTTCACGGGCTACAGGAAGTGTTAGCCACCAGGTCAGCATTGAGAAGAAACAGCGTCCTCTTGTGTCGGGAAAACAATATAGCACAGGAATTTTATACCATATCCTGATGTAGGGAGGTGGAGGCAAGGCAACCACAGATGTCAGTGAGACTGTACGCCATCACGTTTGTAGCTCATAAAAATCTTCATATCATGAAGATATGAGGCCATGTTGTGGAACAAGTATTTAACATAAATTGGTAGGCTGCATGTTAATATTAAATATGTGATACTTAATAAAGGTATACAATTACGTGCTTGCTAATAATAATATTATAAAGTAAAAATACTCTACTATTATACATTAAGTACTACATTTATGATTTTAGTTATGTACTCACTATGGAGAATGAGCCCTGTCACTGCCACATTATAGGGGATTATTATGATTATATCACTGGAATTGGTGCATTCATGCATATGCATGTTAAGATGGAGCAACATAGTAAAAACAATCATCATATATTTTATGTATAATGATATAAGAAATAAGATAAAATCTGTTGTAGCTCATAACACTTAATGTCTGATAGAAGTATATGAATAGAAAGTACCACATTTCCCTCTGAAATGTAGAATATTAATAGAAAAGTAATTTTGTGGACATAAAGTTGTGTTTTATTTGTTTATTCCAGATGAAAATTGGGATTTTTGTGTCCCAGCAATTTTGGTTTGTGCTGTTAGACTTGATTTACTACTACTATCATGAGTATTGAAGGAAATGGGCAATATAAAGAGCTCTTATTCATATGGATGTAATGTAATAAACAATATGAAAACTTAATATTTTGGTGGCATCCTTTTAGAGGCCCCCTTCAAGGACCCTTGGTTATCCACGTGTGGGGCATTCTTTACCTCCCCGGCCGCCATATTCATTGAGAATATTTGTTCCCTCAGTTAAGCCCCTTGGGCAGTTCTTCCTGTCAGACTGCTTACAAATCCATCTTCCTTTAGAAGTATGGGCGACCATGACTGAGCATAAAGAGAATTGGGTTTACAGCATGGAGAGGATTCCTAAGCAAGCCTGCTCTGGGAACAAAAGTCCGTTAATCACTGAAACATGTGCCAAGAGATCATAAAGAAGCAGTTCATTCATTGGTGAGAGACTATGAGGAGGAGGAAGTTAAATTTTTCACATGTTTGAGGTTGTAAAATATCTGTTTATCAGATTCAGTTTGACTGCACTTGGCCTTCGCTGACACCACGGTGACAGCAATATCCTGAATATCACTGAAGTGTGTTAATGTTTAGCTGTGCTTTGCATAGATAACCACAGGAGTTGATTTGATGTTATTTAGTGCTTGTGTGTGAACTAATAACACACTGTACCAGCCATAGTCATAAATTAGGAGAAAGTCACAGAAAATGTAAACAGCTTTTTTTTTTTTTTTACTGACATAAAAATGCTGAAATCTGATTGGTTTACATAACATTACATTGCATATACTGTTGTTCACCACACATCTGGTGGCAGAAAGGAAAGACAGGAAGAATAATATTTTGGTAGAAAACATTTTGGGTAACTCATGAGAGATCAGCATAAAACAAAAGTCATTATGTGAACAGAAATTAAAACAAAACTATGCTAAAATAAAATGAAAGAAGCAAAAATGCATTTCTTGCAGCAAAGCTTTACAGAGGTGAATCTTTGTCTTTATCTGTATTTGCTGCAAAAACAAAATGCATTCACATACACAGATAAACTGAATAAAGCCAGTGGTTTGATTAGAAATTACAGCAAATTCACAACAAAATGCAATAAACTTTTGGGTAGTACTATGACAGAAAAAAAAACCAGTCTAAAAATAAACAAGTCTGCTATAAACAGTCATGCATCATTTAAAAAAGACTGAATTTAAAGGCAACAGATGTGATTTAATCATAATAAAAATATATATCTAGGGAGGAGAAAAGATGTAAACGCTGTTGTTTCTCATACTTTAAAAAAAAGGCATTTCTGGTTCTGAGCAGCATTTAAGAGCAAAACTTTGGACAGCTAGATCGTTTTTCTAAGACTGTGTAGTTTATTTGCGTTTCTCCACTCACACTCAAACATGAACACTGCTCTGTCCGACTGCCTCGGATGGAGCGACAGGGACGGCAGGAGAGCTCTGCACATTTACAACATCTGAGGTAGAGAGTGTCACAGGTCTGCACAGGGAAACATCATCGACCCACAGAAAGTCAGTGCTGGCAGTGGCAACCCAAGACATTCTTCATATAGACATGGGCAGATGGGGGCGCTGAAAATATTTGGGTGGCACACAAAAAATAAAAGCCAGAACTGGATTTCAGGAATACTATTATGCTGTTAAAGTATCTATGCTAGCTAAAAACTATGTCAATATGGACTGTCAATATTACTGATTACCTAATGTACATAGACTAATACCAGTAGGCTACAGTTAACATTTAAAGTTCCACAGGAATCCTGTTTTAATGTGTCATGTATCTGCACATGTAAGCCAATTCAGTGTTCTTCATATAGGCTGGTTGTCCTTTTCCTTACGAAGACACATATACAGCTTTAATTTGAAGGAGGACATTGATTGTATGGAACAAAACATTTACTGGGAACAAGCCTTCTCATGTCTAGAGGAAAATCTTGGGTACCCATTTAACCCATTTTCATTTAGATATCAAAAGATGAGGGTTCAAGGGACCCCTTAAAAATGGCCATGCCAGTTGTTCCCTCAACAAAAGCCTAAAATGGAGCCTAAATGTGGAGCATTATTTAGCCCCTTTCCCAACAAGCTTAAGTGCCAATGGATGCCTTACATTTATAATTTACACCCATTTTTTGGACAGATTGTACAAATGATATCAAACATATTAATTAGTTAGATTTAGAGGTGCTGGAAGTTACCTTCTGACAAAACTAGCATGGTTGTTTTCCCTGTTTCCAGTTCAGGGGCAAAGCTAAGCCAAGCTAAACTATGCTAAAGTAAGCTAAGCTAAGCTAAGCCAAGAAAAGCTGCTGGCTTTATATGTTTAACGGACATGGTTGGTACCAATGGATGCCTTGGGTTGCCTAGTTACACACGATACCACTTCCTTCATGCTAGCTTAAAAATGAACATGCTACAGTCTCTTAAAGACAGTAATGTCCGCCTCCAACTGTTTTCAAAGGGAATTGTATCAGGGGTCATAGCCCCCTCTGGCCCCCTCCTTGGGGGTGCCACTGTGTGTTGGCTGCACTGATTTCCAAAAGGTCTCTGAGTTTTCCAAAAGCAATCCCTCACTGTCAACAGTGACTGACCGCTGAGTGACTTCCTAACATGTTCAGATGGTTCGCTAACACTACCTGTAGGCTTTAGGGAGACACATGACGGCAAGCAAACAGGATTAACACACTTTCACCCATTTTCATTTCAGTACATTTTGGTCTTCAGTGAATGAAATCAAGGCTTAAGGCAAATGCCCGTCAATTACAGCATGACATTCTCCACGACAACTTAAAAAATAAATACCATATGAAAACATAAAACAAGCACCTTTCTATTGAAGGTTAATGAACTGGGCACAGAGTTAATGATTAACGACTTCACTGACTAATGGTCACGTAGTCCATGATAAGTCAAACTCCTGTCCTCACTTCCATTTCAAATAGTGGAAAGTTAGTCTCTAAAATGATAAGATACTGTGGATAAAAGTGTAAAAGCCTCTTAATAAAGTGGTGAGGAACTACATATGCACCAGTATTTCTTTTTCTTTGGTCCTTTTAAGAGGTCATCCATCCAAGCAGATGCTCTGCTGTTGACACGGTTGTTTTATGACCTGGACCGCGTCAGCTACTGGGCAAACTTCATTTTCTTTCATATACCAGCTTATATGAGATTTTTTTTTTCCACTTTAACCAGAGGCACAGCACTGTCACTTTATGTCACACAATGAAAGTGTAAGCTGAAAATATTGGACCAAATTACAGAGAAAAAAACAACTTTAAAAACAAGTCTCACCACAGTTGTTTTTTTTTTTTTAAAGAAATACTGCCTAATGTCAACTGTCAATTAATAGATATAAACACAAACACAATGTCACTATGTTCCTTATGAATCAATATTCTGGTTCACAACTGAAAGCTGGTGTACTTGTGCTGGCTGAGAGTTTTGTTGACGGAATAATTTGACATTTTGGGTAATACGCTTACGAGACTGCAGGAAGTCTCATCAAGAAACAGTCCAGCATATAACCCTCTCATAACATCAAGACAGATCTTTTTACCTCATTGTCTTGTAGATTATACAAATGAGATCAAACATAATAAGCTAGCTTTATAGGTGCTGGAAGTCTGATTTTGTTCCTCTGTTTCCAGTGTTGGTGCTAAACTGAGCTAAGCTAAGCTAAGCTAAGCTGAAAACTTCATATGTTTAATAGACAGATATGGTGGTGGTGGTGGTGGTGGTATCGATTTCTCATGAACTGTTTGAAAGAAAGCAAATAAGCGTATTTCCCAAAATGTTAAATCGTCCTTTTAAAGATATGAACGTTAAACACTGACGAGGTTTCTCAGGCACAGGGTTCTATAACAAGCAACCCCTTTACATGAGTCAGTCACAGTACAGTCAGGGCTTGATTAACCCTTCATGGGGCCTCAGGGCCTCGATTAACTCCCCTATTCCTTTGTATTGTGTCTGAATTAGTAATAATGAATCATTAGTTTGTGGTTATTCCATATAAAATTAGAGTGACAGTTAACCCCTTGGTCAAAAATATGTATTTTCCTCTAACATGTAGTGCTGTTTATCAGTCTAGATTATTTTGCTGTGAGTTGCAGAGTGTTGGAGATATCAGCTGTAGAGATGTCTGCCTTCTCTCCAATATAATGGAATTAGATGGCACTCAGCTTGTGGTGCTCAAAGTGCCAAAAAATACATCTGAAAATCTCAACAGCAATGTCTCTTTCCAGAAATCATGACCTGGTTTTTCAAGATAATCCACAGACCTCAAGATAATCCACCCACCAAACATATCACTGGGTCCGTGAGTAGATGCACTCTTCCTTCTGTACAGTGATAATGGTTGGCTGCTGTAATTGGGTAAACAGAAAATAGTTCCTTCATGAAACTGCTCACAACAAGGTCTGTGGATTATCTTGAGTAACCAGGTCATGATTTCTGGAAAGAAACATTGCTGTTGAGGTTTCAAATGTATTTTTTTGGTGCTTTGAACACAGCAAGCCGGGCGCCATCTAGCTCCATTATATTGGAAAGAAGGCAGATATCTCTGACTGATATCTCAGCAGCTTGTATCTCAAAAGTATAGATTGATAAACAGCGCTACAGGTAAGAGGAAAATTATGTGTTTTTGATTTGGGGGTGAACTGTCCCTTTACATTCCTTATCGCTGCAGATTATACTCTGATTTAGTGGTGCATACATACCAAACTAAAGTGCAATTACTTACCATGAGCTAATTGCAACATAGTGAACATGGAGCCTTTGGGACCCCAAGGGTCTGGGGCCATGACTTGCCCAGTTGGTAATCCAGCCTTGAGTGCAGTCTGTTGTATTAAAGATGAGATTTCCTGGATCCAGCCTGGGGGACAGAGCTGTGTGTCCGTGGTTCAGACGGGATGGAAAATCTTTGTGCTTCAAGCAGCGTCCCTTGAAGTGTCCAAGCACCTTTACAGCCCCAGAGTCTCATGGCTGACACTAATAATGACCTCTGAATCTCTCAGAGCACTCTTTTGTATGTCTCTTTGAAATACTATGAACAGATTACCCCTGTTTACAATTTTTGGCATGCTTTAAGATGTTGTTAACAGGAGGATCCTGTCTGATGGGACACTGGAGACGATAAAGATGGCAGGTTTAAGGAGAAATCTTTAGCAGACCAGTTTGCTTTGCACTGATGCTAATCAATGATACTGACTGAAGCTAAATCAAGTTATGTTCCCCCACATGACTGGGTTGCTGTCTTGTGTAATCCAATACGTGTTCTTTTTATGCCATATTTCTACATCTAAAACCATACGGTACTGTTGAAAACTAATTGTAAAGAATGGTGTAAATCCGCCTTTCCCTTCTGAAAGTGTTTTTGGTAAAGACACTGGCTAAAGATGTAAGTCAGCAGCTTTCGCACTGCATTCATTGCATGTATTCTTTCCCTTGTGACTGATATTACATGTGCTGTTTTCTCAGTTTCAATTTCAAACCTCAAGTTTGTGTGTTGCAAGATTCATCTAACTATCTAATGCATAGTTCTGCAGGATCACATTCATGTTAAACTTCAACCTATGACTATCTGATATGTTTCATCACTTTGGCATTTTCTCCTACTCAAGGCAGTCATTACAATCGGCTAAAAACACAGATACTGTATCTCAGTCCTCGGCGGTCTCAGTCTGACCCCGTGTGTGTCTCTCTCAGTCTGTTCAGCGAGGCACTTAGAGGACAGACTCCCCTGTTTTGCTTCGTGTGTCTTCCTGAGCTTTCTCGTGCTCAATCATCTTCTGGGTGACGTCCTGCTCTTTGTTCAGGGCCTCCTCCTTCTCCCTTCTCTTGCGCCTGGCCTCCACCCACGGTATCAGACATAGCACGGCTCCTCCGAAGATCGGGGGGATGCCTGCCAGGTAGAAGGCCACGTCGTAGCTACCCAGTCTGTCTCTCAGGAAACCTGTGAGCAGGGACAGGGAGAAGAAGACATTTTATATCAATCAATTATCTCTTCTTATGTTGAATTCACAAAGAAAACTTAATTTTTCTTGCATGCCTCTGGTGAACGAAGAATCCAAAAATGTTTGGAAAATTCTTAATAAGGTAAAGTAAAGGGGGACCAGGTTTAACAACACCAAAATTATATCAAAACATCTGTTTATAAACTCTCACACAACTCGTGCAGCAAAATCAAAGCGTCATTTATCCAGTGGTATGCTCAGAACTTCCAAAACACATGCATTTCTGCAAAACCTTAACACTTTCACAGAAACATTGTCATGCATACAGTACAGGCCAAAAGTTTGGACACACCTTCTCATTCAGTGCGTTTTCTTTATTTTCATGACTATTTACATTGTAGATTCTCACTGAAGGCATCAAAACTATGAATGAACACATGTGGAGTTATGTACTTAACAAAAAAAGGTGAAATAACTGAAAACATGTTTTATATTCTAGTTTCTTCAAAATAGCCACCCTTTGCTCTGATTACTGCTTTGCACACTCTTGGCATTCTCTCCATGAGCTTCAAGAGGTAGTCACCTGAAATGGTTTTCCAACAGTCTTGAAGGAGTTCCCAGAGGTGTTTAGCACTTGTTGGCCCCTTTGCCTTCACTCTGCGGTCCAGCTCACCCCAAACCATCTGGATTGGGTTCAGGTCCGGTGACTGTGGAGGCCAGGTCATCTGCCGCAGCACTCCATCACTCTCCTTCTTGGTCAAATAGCCCTTACACAGCCTGGAGGTGTGTTTGGGGTCATTGTCCTGTTGAAAAATAAATGATCGTCCAACTAAACGCAAACCGGATGGGATGGCATGTCGCTGCAGGATGCTGTGGTAGCCATGCTGGTTCAGTGTGCCTTCAATTTTGAATAAATCCCCAACAGTGTCACCAGCAAAACACCCCCACACCATCACACCTCCTCCTCCATGCTTCACAGTGGGAACCAGGCATGTGGAATCCATCCGTTCACCTTTTCTGCGTCTCACAAAGACACGGCGGTTGGAACCAAAGATCTCAAATTTGGACTCATCAGTCCAAAGCACAGATTTCCACTGGTCTAATGTCCATTCCTTGTGTTTCTTGGCCCAAACAAATCTCTTCTGCTTGTTGCCTCTCCTTAGCAGTGGTTTCCTAGCAGCTATTTGACCATGAAGGCCTGATTGGCGCAGTCTCCTCTTAACAGTTGTTCTAGAGATGGGTCTGCTGCTAGAACTCTGTGTGGCATTCATCTGGTCTCTGATCTGAGCTGCTGTTAACTTGCGATTTCTGAGGCTGGTGACTCAGATGAACTTATCCTCAGAAGCAGAGGTGACTCTTGGTCTTCCTTTCCTGGGTCAGTCCTCATGTGTGCTAGTTTCGTTGTAGCGCTTGATGGTTTTTGCGACTCCACTTGGGGACACATTTAAAGTTTTTGCAATTTTCTGGACTGACTGACCTTCATTTCTTAAAGTAATGATGGCCACTCGTTTTTCTTTAGTTAGCTGATTGGTTCTTGCCATAATATGAATTTTAACAGTTGTCCAATAGGGCTGTCGGCTGTGTATTAACCTGACTTCTGCACAACACAACTGATGGTCCCAACCCCATTGATAAAGCAAGAAATTCCACTAATTAACCCTGATAAGGCACACCTGTGAAGTGGAAACCATTTCAGGTGACTACCTCTTGAAGCTCATGGAGAGAATGCCAAGAGTGTGCAAAGCAGTAATCAGAGCAAAGGGTGGCTATTTTGAAGAAACTAGAATATAAAACATGTTTTCAGTTATTTCACCTTTTTTTGTTAAGTACATAACTCCACATGTGTTCATTCATAGTTTTGATGCCTTCAGTGAAAATCTACAATGTAAATAGTCATGAAAATAAAGAAAACGCATTGAATGAGAAGGTGTGTCCAAACTTTTGGCCTGTACTGTACATACAACTGGATAAATAAGACTTGGATTATGCTGCACAAGGTCCACAATTGCTACAGTGGCCTTACCAGAGCCTGTGAGGGTCAATAATAAACAGGATTATCTGGAGGAATACTTGGCTACTACATGGCTTTAACTTATTTTTGGCTTCTTGGACTACAGTCATGATGATAATGTCGAGCAGGAGACCCTGATGCTGAGAGTAAAGAGAAACATATAACTGAATTTCTGTGGCAAACACAGTTCATTACTGACCTGCTGCATGTAAACATGGATTTAACAGTAATTAAGTTACTACAATGTAGGTTGACATATTGCTTATTTCCAGTGTAACTTAATTTCTTTCAGTAACGTGGTTTCTCTTGTTAATGAGAGAAAGAGTCACTTGTTTCGCTTGAGGGAAGTTCAGGCCCTGTGTCTGCAAGAATTTACGTTGGTTAAGTTTCCTGGAGCTACACTGAATCTGCGGCTGAATCTGACCTCTGACCTTTCTGACGGGGAAAGTCACATACTGCATCTCTGCACCTCAGGAAAATGAATGCCTTGTCTATCAGGCGGTTCAAGCCCTTTGCATATGAAGCTCACATGAGCTGATAAACAGTCATGTTACTGATGTATATCATGGGAACCAACACAGAGCAGGTTCAGTTAGTTGCATTCACTGAGGTCATGCATTTCCCAACTGTTAGCATACAGTATGTGCCTTTGATTTGCAACAACAGATTCAGCAACTATAAGGTGCTAAAATAAACACTAGGTGGTGCAAAAGGCCTGTGAAAGTCAGTGTGACATTCTTCTTTATCTCAGGACAGAAACTAAGAGGTCAATAGAACGCAGCAGGAATGCATTTTGCTAGGTTAAATCCTGCAGTGTAAAAGTGTTAAGCTACAACTGTTTTGTCTATAAACCTTGACAGTTATTATTTAGCCAAATGTTATACTTTTGTTAAATGTTCTTGTTGTTAAGTCATGTTTTAAACGTGTTAGTTGAGTCCGTTCACAGTAAACTTTACTGCACTTAACAGGTTACAATTATTTATGTTTCTATGGCCAAAAGCAAAAAGAAAGGAGTAGCAGCTTCTTTTGTAACCGACTGTGTTAATTGGGGATATGATATCTTCTCATATCGATCAAAGTTCAAATCTGAGTTAAAATCGTATTGCGGCAGACTTTGAGATATTGACAAATATCGTTGTCCAAAGATTTGATATAATATCATATCTTGATAAACTAGTAATATATACCCCTAATATTCGGTGGCTTATCAAGAGCATTAACACAGTATTAACACAGACTATTCCTGCATTACCTGCAATGGGGGGCCCCACAGTCATGGGCACAGACATCAGGCCCAGCAGGAAGCCGATGGCCTGAGACACGTCTTTGGCTCCGACCAGCTCAAAAGCGATAGGGGCCATAATGCAGATGAAGCAGCCGTCAAACAGCCCCATCAGCAGGCACACGGCGATCAGCCCTCCGAAGATGTTACACAGAGGGATCATCATGGACATGAGGCCGATGACCAAGAAGGAAGCCACCTAGAAGGACAGGAGAGAGGGGTGTATTCAAATTCTGACTCCTTCATTTGATGGTTTGATAATCTTTATGTAGTCATTTTTCCCTTAAGTTTCCTTGATAGGGTAGAGTTTCCTTTCAAGTTCAAGTTAGTTTGGATTTCAGTACCACGTGTTCTCCATATGATCATCTAAATGCTATTTCATATATTTTTCATGTAATCAGATGAAGTAGAGTCCAACTGAAAGCACATTAAATCATCGCTTTTTGCAGTGTAAAATAATGTCAGTGTGAAAATCCTATTTATTTAAACTGGACAGATTTTAAACATTAGCATACATTGATGACTTGATGACTTTTTTTAATATTAAAAAAAGGCCTCACAAGCATGGTCATGCCATACTGGTTGAACCAGGTACAGAGGTAACAACCACATCAAGTCTGTTTCTTTGAACTTTGAGGCCCCGCACTCACCTGCAGGTAGACTTTGTTGACTCCATTAACATAGTCTGCCACCCTGCCGAAGATGAGACGGCCCACGCCAGACGTGATGCCGATGCACATGAGCAGAACTTCTTTATTGGTGTCTTCTCCAAAACGCTCTTCCACATGCTTCATCTGGGGACAATTCAAGAAACAAATGAACACAGCTGTCTCATGGCTTTAATCCAGTGCAACACCTGGGGAAAAAAAAGTTAAAAATGCAGAAGAGGAAATCCAGCTGCAGGGGTTAAGATAAGTTCAGTTTCATATATTCTAGAAGCCTGACTGAGACTGAGATCCCTTTTACAAAAGAGACACAAATCAAGGGCTGGGTATCAGTACTTAAAACCTTTTAGGTATCGACTGAAAGAACCCAGTATGAAGTAGCATTAAAACTTCTTCAGTCAAACGATACCTGCATTTGATCTTTTTTGTACCTACATCTATAAAAAAAAAAAAAAGATTATTTGTATGGTTTTGTTTACAACAAATCACACGTTAAAGTGTGAACGTTCAGTGGTTCAATGCAACATGTGATTGGCCAATTACCACACCGGCTGGAATGTGGTGAAGTTGAGTGCAATGTGTTTATGAAGTTGGCAGTTCAGCATGCCAAGATGCCACCAAAATGTTCAAGATACAAGCTCTGTTCCTGTAAAACAATCCAATTAAAATTTTGTGGTGTTTTAGCAAGGTGTTCAAAATACGTTTTGTAGGATAACGTGCTATCTAACCAAATTACAGTATTTACACTGCTGTTCTGTATTGATTAGCTAACTGAGAGCATGGATCACAATAGAAACATCAAAGCTTCATGTTTTTGAGAAATCCCAATGTCACAAATCACAGGGCCTTTAACACAGGTCAGGAAGGTTTGAGGTAGAGCAGAGGGTACAAGATGGTATTGTCAGCATAAAAATGGACAAAGCAGTGCTCAGTTGGAGAGTTTATAATAATGTCGAGAGCAAATAGCAGGGGACCTTATATTGATCCTTGAGGGACACCTTCATTAGTCATCTGGGCACTTGATTTGAAACCATCCGTATCAACAGTCTAAATTCAAACATGATTTCAACCCGCTGTAAGCAGAGTCGCTAAACCAGTGGAAAGCCACGTATTTAACAAAATGTTGCAATTGACAGAATCAAAAGTCTTGAAGAGCTTTACAAGGAGGGCAGCACAATGTTGCTTTTTACCAAGTGAGTTCACGATGACATCCACAACAGCAGTTTTATAAGCAGGACATGATTTCCTGTAGGGGCACACTGTTTTACATTACATCACAATTTTTTCCATGCTGATGACGTGACACTTCACTTGCATGGGTATATTCAGTGTTTTGCATTCTTTTTGCATTAAACTGGTTGTATATGTATGTATATATGTAAGGATTTAAAGTGTTTCACAGTGTTGGGGCCAACTTAGTGACTCCACTGCTCTGTAGTTCTGTAGTGTATCAAGCATTTTTCAGTTGGGAGTTTGTTGTTGCTTCCCTGTCACAGCCTACTCATCAGAATTCTTATCCAACCCGTCCATATTTCAACATTCCTCTTTTATCTTCCATTTTTGCTGCCCCTGAATGTTAGATTCCACTTCAGACTATGAAAAAAGCAGCCCAGATGTTCTTTTTTCCAGATTACTGGCTGCATGCGTCCCTCTTACCCCAAAGCACCAATCTGTGAGGCCCAGAAGTTGTGAGCCAATGAGAAAAAAAGGGCTTGCTGTGTGGAGCCCTGCCAGCTACTTGTACCTCTAGGGGGGCAGCTGCAGCAGCAGCAGTCCCGCTCAAAAGCCTGTCTGTCTGCTGCCTCTACAACCTATCTGCAAATCTGCAAAGACCTCTGGATGACTTATCATCTTTGTCAATAAGTCACAACAGCATGTATGTTCAAGAGTGTCCTGCTCAGAGGGGATTCCTGCATCCAAGAAGCGATGCTGCAGGCAAAACAACTAAAGGCTCAGCGTGTGTGTATGCACACACATGCATCAACAGAAAAACTGATGATTTACACACCCATTCAAGGATGACCCCGGGGAGGAGACTTTCAAGAGAGATGCCAGATGTGACTGACATTCTCCCTCTTAGCTTGTCGTTACTATTACAGAAGCAGTGAATGTCGTTCAGATATCTTTTCAGTCATAGGAAATAATAGATGAATAAAGAATTTTGTTTTTGATCTGTTCTTCTTTTAACCAAAAAAAAAATCATAAATTCTCATGATCTCACTTTGGTAATGGTAATGGAGTGCTGAGGTTTTTAAGCACCAGTTGAATTCTACTAAATTCTACTTGATAATGTATGTTTTATGTCAAGGACTCCTATGTATGACTCACTATTGTTCACACTAACTCTCCTATAGCTTTGTGCAGATGTAGATACATTGCTTTGGTTTATGTTTATCTTTTGAGAGGGAGATGGATGATTTTTCATCTGTAGAAATTAAGTGGAAACCTCCAGAGCTGAAAAATGAATGAACGTGGGAGTGCCAAAATCTGCAGTTCCTCCAATGGCCACTTGAGACTGGGTCCAAGTGCAAGTCAATCCCTCTAAACCCCATGTTAAGCATAGGCATAATCACAGTTAACAATGGACTGTAATGCACTGTGCTAACCAAACTAGCTGCTAGTGTTAGGGTTTGCTCAACCCTCATGTCCAAATATGGTCATCTGGCTCCAAAAATCTAAAATGTCAATGGTCAAACATGCCAGGCTCAAGGCTTCAAAATGGGAGTCCACAAACAAATAGCATCATGATGGCTACGTCCATTATTTTTATACAGTCTATGGTAGGAATCCACTGTGGTGCAATGTGTTGGCAATATAAAACATAAAATGTAAAGATGACAAATTTGGCTCTGGGATATTAAACAGGGTTTTCCGCAATTTGTCCGTCATTTTGATTAACAAATTAACAAATGGATCAATCGAGAAAATAATGGGCAGATTAATCTATAATGAAAATAATAAAGCCCTAAATATAACTCTGCATCAGTCAGCCACAACAGACCATGATCAACTCAGGTGGATCATGCAAGATAACATAAGAGAGGTCTGAGTAACGAGCAAACAAGGAAAACACACACACACACACAGGCAAAAGCCCACTACACCTTGATAAGATTTATCTGGTCAGTCATACGTATGATGGAGACAAGCAGTTCCTATGCTGTGACATCACGTTAGATTACTGGATAGACATGAGGAAGGTCATAGTGACCAGCTAGACGCTACAGGAAGATATTACCCATTGAACCCTGTGACTCATTCACACACTGCATCAATAATGTCTGTTATGTATTGGAGGCTTCCTGCGAGGTTGCAGGATGGTGCTGTGTCATGTGTTTACTCATTACAGATAAAAAAGCAGGAACAAAACAGAGCGTAACTTTGCTTTTCCTCTGTCTTTAAACAGATTAGATGGACCTATAGATTCAGCAGAGGTTATCTTACATCACCCCTGTTACAGCTGTGTCATGCTACCATCTATCATGGAGCTTTGGCATTTAAACATAAGCTTATCAGTGCTTGACAACAATCAGTGATTTCCGGCCTCCAAACTCCAGTGCACTCCCAGATTACTGTACACTGGGGAAAAAAATACATGTGGCAACTTCCACTTATCCCGTGAGTGACTGGCAAAAAATTCAGCAGGATGTAATTTGACTGTTTGTTTTAAGAGTGTGTGTGTGTGTGTGTGTGTGTGTGTATCTTAGATCACGTTTTCAGGAACACAAGCTCACTTTGATGTGATGCAACTAAGAGCCTGACAGTTGGCCTTGTGGTATAGAACATCATAACCCTACAGAATAAATGCAGAAACACAAACACACACATGCGTTCAATGCAGACACAGTGGTTTAACCTCTAACTACTTTTTAGCTCTGCCTCTTTTTCTTAGGCCAGAGACATACTTGCTTTTTAACCACATGTTCACATAGATAACCAAACTGAGCAGAATTGTTCAGATCCTTGCCCATGAACAACGCATGTTACTTGAGGATTCCACCAGAGAGAGCCTGAGAGAACTCAAACCGTATACAGTTTCCAGATTTGCATGATGTACACAATAACAGGGCAACACTTAGGGAGATCAAGATATTGTCAATTCTGAGATCACCGCAGATCATGGCAGAAAAAGCGACAGTGGTGCCATTATACATAATATGTGTCAAACATGTTGTTACAATGGTGAGTATGTTCCTCTCATTCTACAAACACTGACCCCGCCATTTATGTGTGTATTGTATCTTTGCGTAAGCATCACATTCATTTCTGAGGATGTCCACAACCAACTCTCCAGATGAACATGAGGTTACCATCACGTGCACGCGAACGTGTACTTACAAGCAAGTATATCCCCAACCTTAGATTTTATGATGGAGATATACCAAATCTGGCAAATAAACTGAAAGACATGCCTGAACCCCAAACGGTCTGACTTGCTATGGCCGGTGGGTGGTGCTTGGTTTTGGCTAACTGCTAACGTTCTCATTTTACAGCTAAACAGTACACTAAAAACATCTGATGTGAGAAATAGGCAATGAAGTAACAGAATCTTGATTCATGTTTGATCAGTGCTGCCTAGTTTGACAGTTTGAGTACAGTTCACAAGGAGCGACTGACATGATTGACAGCTGTTCTCTTGGAAAATGGTCGATGAACCAACTATTTTACTTGCGGCGGAGTTACGGGTCTATCACTGCATCTGTCAGCTTTCGTGTAATGTAAAGCAGTGAAAATATTCAAAACATAGTGTACACTTAAACTGATACTGATTTCTTAGGTGGCTAAATACATTTTGCTGCGACCTTGTCCAAAGCAGTGCATTGTTTGGCTTCCATGCCAGGGGATCTAGTTTATCAAAGACGCTAACAAAGCAATGCAGTACATAAAATAAGCACAGCAGAAACATCATATAGTTCAGACCACTATGTTTAACCACATATCTTAAAATGTTACAGTTATGGCTGAAAATGACAACAGAAATTAGCAAGTTTGCCGACTACACATACCGTTTTCTACCTTGAAGTGACTATTGTTGTTAGCAAAACATCACAGTCTGTTGAACATACCTGAACTTACCTAACAGTATTTTGTTAGTAAGATGTATACAATGTTGATTTGATTTTTTTAAGGGATTGGGGACTAGACTCATATAAACTCTAAAGTAGAGCTTTCTCACAGCAGTCAAACACAGGAGTAGTTAATAACATTAACGTTGACTGCCTTCCATTTAGATGTGACGAAATGGAGCGGAGCAACCAGTAACTTATTAGTAACACCTGCGCTTCTCTTGTGAAGTCTGTCTGCTTGGAAAAATATCTATAGTTGCTGGCATCAACATGATATCGACACTTAGTTAAACACACAAAAAAGAAAATCTAAAGTAGAAAATGGCACATCAACTACACACTCTTTAAAGTTGATTTAACAGTGTGTTTTGGGGTGAATTTTCCCTTTCAGAGCCCCACTGTGCACCAACCCATATTTTCTCTGCTCTCTCTCCTCTACTGTTTTATGGTCATTAAACATCCAGCCCTCTTCCAGCCCACACGCCGCAGCACTGCAGGTGCCCCTCATTAAACACACTGAAACAAGCTTACTTTTTAAGCAGAGACAGCTTTCTATGAAACAATACCATTCTGTATGCTGCTAATGTGAATCTGTTAAAAAAAGAGGATAAGTATTACTTATCTGGCTGATATGACCAAACTTTCTCATGTGCTGTTCTTCAATTTGTTCTTTTTGCAAAGTCAGCAGAGAGAAGCTACCACGCCTTTTATCAGCCCACGAATTGAGCAAACATCGCCATACCTGAAGGCCAACATCTTCTCTGTAATCAGTAATACTTGGAAAAGTGTGTGCAAGTGTGTACAAGTGTGTGCAAGTGTGTGTGTGTGTTAGATTACCTCCATTGGACTTTACACTTTTATTGTCTTCAGATATGTACAGCTCGATTTGGACTGAGGAAAAACATACATGGAACTGTGGCAGTGGGGCTCTAAAAGGACACACACTCATGCACATATGCTCCACGGAAAGAAAAGTGTTGAGAGGTTTTAAGGAACTGATAGGACTCGCTTCCTGAAAAGCTGAACAATATGCAGTTTGACCCCTGTTTTTTCCCTCCTTCTTCCGGTGCAGTGTCAGAAGGACTTGGCCTTAAATGCAGGGAGGAAGGGGCTCTGTGTAGTAAAGGACGAGTGCTGGGGCTCTGAGGCCAGGGGTGGCGCTGAGGCTGCAGCCAGGCCCCTGCAGTGTCGCAGTCTGAGTAGCAGACACAGGAGAAGTGTTGGGAAAACACATCCCTGGGACAGGCTGATCTCCCTCCAACAACAGAGTCATCGTGTCCAAATAAACAGTCACCTCCCAAGAAGGTGTTTTCTCCAATATCATATTTTTCCATCATAAAGTTTAAATAAAGGGAGATTCAGGGAATGTGACACCTGTTTACAGAACTGTGTCCTGACTGAAATGAGAGCTAGAGATTGAGCCTTCCTGACATATTTAGTTACTTTCATCAGGACCACACAGCTTAAGTGTCACATGTGGACACATGCAGCTGTGAGGGAATTGGGAAACTGCTGTGACGTGCACTTTGTAGGATGTAGCCCAGTTAGTTAGGCTGTAGTAAACAGGACAAGATTTTGGTATCAAAAGCGTCCTGATTTTCATTTGTAGTCCAAGTAGTATTGACCAATCATGTTTGAGCAGCAGGTAAACAATCTGTGTGGAGAGGTGGAAAGTAGTTGCTGAAATGCTATTTGGAACAAGACGATCTAGCTTTTTTAACATTTAATTATCCACATTCATATACAGATATCTGTTTATAGAGATAGGTTGAAATGACCGGTGCATGGAAGAGGAAGTCCTGACTCGCAACAGAGTCTCTGCTTCCGGCTGGACCATGTTCCATTGGCTACATCTTTAAAATGAAAACTTGATTGACCCAAATTACAAAACTACAAACAACATACAACTCCTATTGTATCTATAGATTTTTAGAGGACCTTTTCTTAAATAGACCCTCTTAACTGACAGAGACAACCTTACATATTCTATGTTCCTAAATGCTGAAGTACACCTTAAGAGTCATAAATCATCTCATGGTAACCCTGTACCAACGCTGTATGCCTGGAAGACCCTGGCTGGGAATCAGACTTCCCCTCCTTACCTTTCACATCAATAAATCTCACGTTGCTAGTACGTGTTTTGATATCTGTGTTGTTGAAGCTCTCTAGTTAACCTCACCCTTACTCCAAACAAGAGATTAGGATACTGGGAAATCACACCATGGAATCCCTCTGTTGGCATTTACGTGCTGTTATTCGTCATCAGACTGACCTTTGGCTCAGAGAGTGGGGTGATGATGTCCAGCAACACAAACAACATGAGTACACGATAGGTGTGATGGTCAGTGAAATCAAATTTGATTGAGAAATAGCAGAAAACACAAACTTACCAGGTGAACATAAGGCACAAAGTAGCCATAGAGGGCTGCAGGGATTCCGAAAGCCCAAATGCGATATCCCAAAGACCTCCAGATATTGATGTTGAAGATCTCACCCAAGGGCGGGCACTTGCTTCCTGTGCGGGTGTTGCTGGGTTTGACTGGCATCAGGGGCTTGTAGGTGAAGCCAGCCAGCATCAGTATGAACATAAGGATGCACAGAACGCGCATGGTGTTCTGGAGGCCCACTTTTTCCAGCAAGCCCGACAGCACGAAGGGCAAGGTGATGGTGAAGATGCTGCTGCCGGCCGTCACAATGCCATTGACCAGACCCAGGCGCTTCTTGAAGTAGTGGCCCAAGATGACCAAGCTGGGCTGGTAGGCAAAAGAGCAGCCACAGGCAAATACAATGCCATAGGTGAAATACAGGGGGCCCAGGGACCTGTGACAGGGCAAAACAACAAGATGCATAAGGATACAGCCTTAGATCCATCAACAAGATTGAGCAAGTAAATGTTTAATTATGGGTTGTCCTCAGCTTTTCTTATTATCTGCACATTCAAAAGTTGTATAATTAATCCAACAGTGAAAAAGTATAATTATGCTACTTACTGAAGTGGTTCAGTTGCCAGCAGCAGAGTATTATGGTTTTCTTGGCATTTTGTGAATGTGTAACATTGTGTCTAACTGTTTTTGATCCCACTGGTCACAACATTTTGTTATATTAGTCGCTTTATTAAGGTTTGATGATTCTGCTGACAGCCGATTTAAATTAGGAATGTCAGCGGTTAACTGTTAATCAGTTAACTGTGGAGAATATTGACCAATTATGTATGTTGGTCTATTAATTTTGCTACTCTTCAGTTTCCTGCACTGCACACCATCCCTGTCTGGTGGAGGTTGTTAGCAGTGTTGCTCATTTGGCAATAACTGCGAGTAACACCGCCCCCACCAAACAGTGGACACAACCTGGTCGGGTGGGAGCAGCGCAGAGTGGCAAGGGCTAACGTTAGCTAACCAGTGGAGACCAAAGGATGGAGACTATGTTTCTGTACGTTAACACAGCCACCCGGTTGTCTCACAACAAAGCCAACAGAAAATAAAGCAAAGGGCAAGACATTTAGAGAAAACACTTAAATTTCACCACCTCTAAACAGATAGCACCTTAAAACGTGGCACTAAAGCTCACTGAGTCAATGGAGTGCTGGCCTAGAAGAAAAGGCCTCTTGTATTTCACGACATTTTGCTTTTTTTTCATGAAAATAAACCAGCAAGGTTAATAGGTGTTGGGCTAGTGAAAGTAGTCAAACACCATGTCTTTTTGGGGTCTAAAGTTCAAGTCCTAAGGTGGTTGATAAAGGTGTTCCTCAAGGATCAATATTCGGTCTTTTGCTATTTACTGTGCAAAAATAAAATGTTTTTCCCAGCTGAGCACTTCACTACAATTTTATGCTGACCTTCATGCCATCAGTTCTACGTCAGACTTTCTCCAGCTTACCGTCTACAGATTCATGGTCTTAATGTAAATCTTATTAATACAGAGCAGCATTATAAGTGCTGAGCAATTTGGTTAGATAGTAGATTGTCTGAGAAAACTCATGTTGAACGCCTCACTCAGAAAACATTGATTCAAATTGGATTCTACTGATATTTAATGGTAAATGTGGACGTTTTTATCAGTGTGTCTGATGGCCCAGTATGATTAAATTGTTTTGTTGATTTGTTATTAATCATAATTAATTAGTTGTAAGAGATCTTGATCTCAGTGAGATAAATAAATAAATAAACACAGCTTTAAAAACACTCAGATCAGTCCATATGCTGCTGAAGCTCTCTAGAGAAATAGAAATATCTTTATTACTAATATTTTGTTGCTTGTTTGTATTTTTAGTTTAGTTTTAGTTTTGTCTAGTTTATAAAACGACTAGAGGATGGTTGTAAAAAAAAGATGGTGTGTGGAATGGGCCAAAGGCATGACATCAGAATAAATAAAAGTGAATGAATTAATTAATGAACTCTTACCAGGTACAATATTTTGGCATGTGTTTGACTTCTGTCCATTAAGCCTTTAAAGAATTGCAAATTAAATCAAACAGCTCATACATCTAGGTAAAATGATTTAAGTCTAGCGGTCAAGGTCCAAATAAATACAGGACGGTGGCTTCAAGTGGTTTCAAAGTCCTGTTTGAGGTAAATAAATCTTAACAGATATCACATGACCAAGATATTTTGCAATTTGCACTGTCTGCTACAAAACTCGGCTGTCAACCCATTTTTTGTGAGATGCTTTTTTTGGCCGCCACTTGATAAGCTGTAATTCAGCTGTTTTATTATGTATTCATTGCACTTGAAAGTGACTAAGGGTTGAACCTTTGCTGCTTTGTTTGGATAACAAATGTCTGTGTGGTGGTACCAGTGTTTCCTCACATGTAGACGTATGTGGCTCCAGGAAATTATTAACAACGCAGTGCTAAGTGCAAAGACTCTTGCCCACAGAGTCTTGATAAAAGCTAAAAGGGGATATGTGCACTAGCTACTCAGCAACAAACAGCTGACAGACACAGCAACAGCTGGTGAACATAGTGGAGCATTTAGCAGCTAAAGAGACAGGTATTTCCCTCTGGATTTGGCAGAGACCAAAACAGAACTAAAACACAGTGAAAATTGGACTTATATTCATCAGGTGGATGCAAATCACACTCCAAATTAGTTGCTAATCATGTTGCTGGATGTTTAAATAAGTGAAGCTGGCCAAGGTGATTATATGTTAACATTATGTTAACAATTTGTTTTCACTGCCTCAAGAATAATTATTGCAGGTTTAAAGGGATGATTCCACACCAAATCAAAAATACATATTTTTCCTCTTACCTGTAGTGCTATTTATCAGTATAGATTGTTTTGGTGTGAGTTGCCGAGTGTTAGAGATACTGGCCGCAGAGATGTCTGCCTTCTCTCCAATATAATGGAACTAGATGGCACTCAGCTTGTGGCTCTCAAAGTGCCAAACCATATAAAGGAAGTGTGCATCTACTCATGGACGAGAGGCTCGTGCTTGTGACAGCGCGAGATGTAAACATTAATGGCGTCCTCATCAGTTGAGCTGTAACCTGGTGCTAACGTATCGATGTATGCTTTCTTCTTTGCAGAAATACAGTTTGCGGGTGTAGTTCGGAGGCAGACATCTCTACGACTGATATCTTCAGCACTTGTCAACTCACACCAAAACATTCTAGATTGATAAAGAGCACTACAGGGAAGAGGAAAAATATGTATTTTTGATTTGGGGTTGAACAAGCTCCCCAAGTCAAGCTACTGATCATTCAATATATCGAGACCATGAAGGGTTACATGAATCTGTTGGCTTACTGATACTCTTAACTGAGGACTGAAGTTACTTGAGGTGTTCATGGTACATCAATACAGACTGATATACTGATTTAATTATCAACAATTACAACGATACTTGTCACTGTCTTTAAGATACGTCTATATTCTAAAATTCTAATGGAGCATCTGTGTCACCACTTCCATCCAATTGTACCTCCTTCCTTAACATTCATACAGTGCTAGCGGTGTAGCGCCAGACAGACAGCGGCAAACAGCCAAGAAAAAGACAGTGAAGATATTTACTAATATCGTCTCATATCAATCACAAGGCCCTGAATTGAATCAAATCAAAATTGTGTCGGGATATCAGCAAATATCGTAATGTTGTCCCAAAAATGTATAGGATACTGTTATGTGATGAAACTTGTGATTTACACCCCTACTTGCTACCACAACGACCTTGTAGGAGTAGGTGACATGTATTCTGTATGCATTGATCACATGATGTCCTTTTGAATTGAAAAGCTTATTTTCTTCCTTACGTGACAAAGGAGCTGGCCAGTAGGCCAACCAGGCCAACAGCAGCGCCGCCCACTGCGGTGACTCTGCATCCGAGGATGTCGGTGAAGACGCTGACGATGGGAGAGCAGAAGAAGATCATCCCCATGGAGAGAGAGCCCACCCATGCTGCAGAGACACATGGAGACAAAGCAAGACAGAATGAGTGTATGAGAAAATCCTCACACAACAAGCTGTAAGTCAGAGTGATTATCGTTTCACAACGAAACGGAAAACTATTTAAGACACAAACAAAACTGTCTCCAGGAAGACACTTCTGTTTAATACTCATGCTACAGATGCTGACTACAAAACAAAGCCTGGCGATGCTATTATAGGACACTGTTGATCTTGTATCTATGTACACATTTACTTAGTGGTGCACACACACACACACACACACACACACACACAAACACACGCACTGTATTGTCAGTTTGCTCAGACATCCAGTCTCCAAATGTCTTCCAAGTCGCAGGTTTCCTTTTTTAGATCCTGTTCATTATCATACTGTACCTTGTTTGTATCTACATCCACTTTTCTTTGTGACCTTGAAGCAAACATGTTTGGGAAAAGCTACACAGAGACACTAACTGCCTTAGGGAGACAAAGCGTACAATAACAAAGACGAGCAACAGTAGGAATAAACATTGAGTGGAAGGGAAAGAGTGACCAGGAAAACACTTAGGTGTGATCTCAACACTTAGTACACAGATACCACAGAGCTGTCATCTACCTCTTGGGTAGGACATACATTTACGTCTCACTTAACACAGGCTGTTCTCGTGCACCGTTAGAACGTTTTCCTAGGAAAAGCAATGCATCAAAATTCGTACATATCCCACGTAATTATGAGCCAGTTATTAGTGTATAGCCATGTGTTTTTGAAGGCTACAGGTCATATGACTAATGCTCTTAGACCATTATTTAGAACTGTGTGAACTTTGACTGAACTTAGTTGAGTGAATTAGATGAGTTGAGTTTCTTTTTCTAAACCTAACCGCAGTACCATACTTGCCTAAACCTGACCAACATAACCTTACAGTACGTACATAACTTTACATTAAGTGTGTAACATCATTTGTAGGGTGCTAATTGGTAGGATATAATACAAACTGTTGTGTGTCCATTTTTGTAGGACATAATATGAATTGCTGTATGAAGATACATTGCTAAACTTTCTCAGAAAACTCAGACATGACTAAGAATTTTCCAGGCAGCAAACATCCAACAGTGTTGCTGGTCAAATTCCAAAAATAGTGACAAACCAAAGTCCTTAATCATGTCATGTTAATTATGTCTTCTGTGGCTCTGAAAATGCATTTTCAAGTTTAAAAAAAATAACCCTGGCATTAGGGTTATCTCAGCCTTAGTTTGGAGATCAGACATTTATAACAGAAAGTGTAATTCACAAATTAGGGTGTGGATTTTGAAAAACATGCGTGTTTACCTAGCACAGAGAGCCTAACAAAAAGATGCAGTTGGTTGCATTATGGGAAATGTGGGATCCAGTGTTTCTGGAGCTTGACGTAGTGTAGTCTAGGGACTAAAATTCAGGATATATGAATATGTTAATGCTAAATCACTAGGCTACCCCTTTAATGTTGTCATATTGCCAAACCCTAGGTAAAAAAATGGCACTGTGCTTCAAATTCTGTCTCTTATTCCTTCCCTTTAGTATATTCTAGTTTTCAGTCTAATGCTACCAGAGCAAAAAAAAGCAAAGTGATTCTTTTTGTCTCCAAGAAATGTCAGCAGGACTAAAACTCTGACCACAGGAAACATCCGCAGTGGTTGGTCAATGCTTGGTCAGCAGTCTTCTGTGAGTCTGAGGTTAAATACCACTGTCACATGCTGCAGCAGACCTCTAATACATGTTAAGATATGTAGGACACATTTATGTCAAAGCAGATCAGCAATTCTGGAATTTAAAGGGCGTTGGAGGGTTTGACCATTGTGGGATCTATCAAAGAATAGTAGAGCAAAATAGTCTTTGTAGATAACTGTAGGTAGACTCAGAGAACTTATATCTCTTAGGTCTTATCACAAGTTTTATTTACTTAATGACATATATGGGTGAGCATGTATGTGCTGAGGTATGCTGGGAAAAACAGATGTTGCACTAGAAATGCTTCTTAAACAGCAAGCTTTGAGATACTGTAGTGTATTGTTTTGTATTGACTTTTATCATTATCCAAGGAAAAAAGCAAACATGAAGATGGGAAGTGGAAAAACAAGTAGCAATGCTGACAAAACACATGAGTACACAAATTATGCAAACCACCTCGTGCAGTGCCCTTTGACCACAAAAGGACGGGGAAACCAGGAGTGAGTGACATGTTTTGGCAGGAGCGACTGCCTGGGGCACTTTTAGTTCTCCAATAGAATAACACATCCTACACTAGATACTGTATAAGCATAGGTAGGGTTGAACGTGAACACGTGTGACACAGAAGTTGTTTTTCTCAATTCTGACGCAAGGTCAGAGGAATCTTGTGGGAAAATGTAGAGCAGCAGGAGTTTGAGTGTTTTTGTTGTCTGTTTTTGACGTTGAGTAACGGGAGACCCCTGTGTCACGTTACAGGTTTATTAGCTGCGTCACTGCTGTGTCTTTATTCTCCTTGAATCCTCATCTCACCCCATGCTGTCACAGTATCATACAAGCTCAGGTTGTTCCATAAGATAAAGGTTATGAAGCAGTACATAGGCACGGAATAAAAACACCCTGCTACCCTTACAGGAATAATCATAACTGTACTGTGAGCAGCTTCTCTCTGATAAACACCTTTACTTTAGTGTGCTAAGCATCTTTAACCAGGCCAGCAGCTCTGTCAGACTGTAATGGTAATTGTTAGGAAAACTAAACTTTAACGTTGATAAAAGTTGAGGCTCATAATTTGTTTTTTTCTTTCCCAAGCTGTCTTGGTGAAGTAAATGCAAGAAATGTAGGCTCTAGGGATGCACGATAATATCGGCACATCATCGGTATCGACCAATATTGGCTTTAAAATGAAATATCGGAATCGGCCATTGTGCGGATAAATAAGTTGTTATATACAGTACAGGCCAAAAGTTTGGACACACCTTCTCATTCAATGCGTTTTCTTTATTTTCATGACTATTTACATTGTAGATTCTCACTGAAGGCATCAAAACTATGAATGAACACATGTGGAGTTATGTACTTAACAAAAAAAGGTGAAATAACTGAAAACATGTTTTATATTCTAGTTTCTTCAAAATAGCCACCCTTTGCTCTGATTACTGCTTTGCACACTCTTGGCATTCTCTCCATGAGCTTCAAGAGGTAGTCACCTGAAATGGTTTCCACTTCACAGGTGTGCCTTATCAGGGTTAATTAGTGGAATTTCTTGCTTTATCAATGGGGTTGGGACCATCAGTTGTGTTGTGCAGAAGTCAGGTTAATACACAGCCGACAGCCCTATTGGACAACTGTTAAAATTCATATTATGGCAAGAACCAATCAGCTAACTAAAGAAAAACGAGTGGCCATCATTACTTTAAGAAATGAAGGTCAGTCAGTCCGGAAAATTGCAAAAACTTTAAATGTGTCCCCAAGTGGAGTCGCAAAAACCATCAAGCGCTACAACGAAACTGGCACACATGAGGACCGACCCAGGAAAGGAAGACCAAGAGTCACCTCTGCTTCTGAGGATAAGTTCATCCGAGTCACCAGCCTCAGAAATCGCAAGTTAACAGCAGCTCAGATCAGAGACCAGATGAATGCCACACAGAGTTCTAGCAGCAGACCCATCTCTAGAACAACTGTTAAGAGGAGACTGCGCCAATCAGGCCTTCATGGTCAAATAGCTGCTAGGAAACCACTGCTAAGGAGAGGCAACAAGCAGAAGAGATTTGTTTGGGCCAAGAAACACAAGGAATGGACATTAGACCAGTGGAAATCTGTGCTTTGGTCTGATGAGTCCAAATTTGAGATCTTTGGTTCCAACCGCCGTGTCTTTGTGAGACGCAGAAAAGGTGAACGGATGGATTCCACATGCCTGGTTCCCACTGTGAAGCATGGAGGAGGAGGTGTGATGGTGTGGGGGTGTTTTGCTGGTGACACTGTTGGGGATTTATTCAAAATTGAAGGCACACTGAACCAGCATGGCTACCACAGCATCCTGCAGCGACATGCCATCCCATCCGGTTTGCGTTTAGTTGGACGATCATTTATTTTTCAACAGGACAATGACCCCAAACACACCTCCAGGCTGTGTAAGGGCTATTTGACCAAGAAGGAGAGTGATGGAGTGCTGCGGCAGATGACCTGGCCTCCACAGTCACCGGACCTGAACCCAATCGAGATGGTTTGGGGTGAGCTGGACCGCAGAGTGAAGGCAAAGGGGCCAACAAGTGCTAAACACCTCTGGGAACTCCTTCAAGACTGTTGGAAAACCATTTCAGGTGACTACCTCTTGAAGCTCATGGAGAGAATGCCAAGAGTGTGCAAAGCAGTAATCAGAGCAAAGGGTGGCTATTTTGAAGAAACTAGAATATAAAACATGTTTTCAGTTATTTCACCTTTTTTTGTTAAGTACATAACTCCACATGTGTTCATTCATAGTTTTGATGCCTTCAGTGAGAATCTACAATGTAAATAGTCATGAAAATAAAGAAAACGCATTGAATGAGAAGGTGTGTCCAAACTTTTGGCCTGTACTGTATCACATATCCGATATCGGCAGAAAATCCAACGTTGTGCATCCCTAGTAGGCTAGGTAATATGCTCACGATGGCAATATAAACATGATGATGTTTAGAAGAAAATCTTTATCGTGGTCACCATTTAAGTTAATAGCTAACATTAGCTAACGTCAGAGTCCGTCATCGTGTCAGGTACCCATGGATAACCAACCAGTGACAAAACAAAGACCTACTTTACACTACATGATTCAAGTGACCCAATTCCGATTTTTTCCTCTGTGGCACAGATTGGATCTGTAACATGAACATGTAAACAGGAAAAAAACGCATGATATCGGATATTGTCAGATCAGATTCAGGCCTCCTTCATATGTGGAAATATATCGGATATGAATCAGATATCTGCCAATGGGTCTGTAATCTAAACAGACAGATCGTATATTTCCTGGCAATCCACGTCG